CCACCCACCTTAGCCTCCCAAAGTGCTGGGATAACAGGCATGAGCCACCGCACCTGGCAGCATTTTCAAATTAATGAAAACGGTGTTTGAGAAGGTGGCATATTTCAGACAGTTTTATTATTTTTCTAGAAGCTTCAGGATTGCAAGAATCTTTTGGTCAGAGTAAGTTAGAGTCAGTGTTAGAAGACACTACAAATCTACTCTGCTAAAAGCTGAATCATCTCTGTATTTGTTACAGTATTTATTTGCCTTGAGATCTACTCTATGTGGTGATTAATTTAAACTTTTTTTTTTAAATTTTGACCATGAACTTTCTAAGACTCCTTTCTCAAAAAGGCAACTTTTTTTCTTGTGTCTAGTCCATGTTTTCACTGTGGTCTTTTAAATTTGATAAAAACATACTAACTCCCTTACTTATTTCTGTTTTACCCTTTATCCCTAAACTTCATGAGTCATTAAAGTTAGTTTCTTCTGATTCTTGATGTCACAATGCAGAATTTTTTGTAACTTAAAAGAATTACAAAATGGTATGAGTGACCTCCATGTAACTATTGCAAAGTTAATTATTTTCCGGATACTCCCTCCTCCCTATCAAAGACCTAAAGTGATTCTAAAGAAAATTGTAAAAAATAATATCAATGATTTAGAGGTGAATGTACAAATCAAATATGTATTTTCCCAATTTTGTCCCTTCCCCCACAGACTTAAACTAATCTTAAAGAATCTACTCCTGCTCCTACTTTACCTTTCCTATAGATTCGTAGATTTTTTTTATTGCATTTTAGGTTTTGGGGTACATGTGAAGAACATGCAAGATTGTTGCATAGGTACACACGTGGCAGTGTGGTTTGCTGCCTTCCTCCCCTTCACCTATATCTAGATTTTTACAAGTCTGTAAGGGACAAATATGAAGACAGTTTAAGTGTTATATGTATTACATTAATGCTAGTTTGTGTCTTTCTTTAGATAAATCTGCTTTATTTCAGAGGATTGGTAATAGAGAGTGCTGGGGCTGCAGGGCTGGTATGACCCAGAGAAAGGGCTGTCCCACATGTCTCTAGATTTTCTGGTCTCTGGACTTCCGTGTCAGAAGACAGCAGCTTAACAGTTGTTGAGGTTGTTGACACTTTATGGGACTAGTATCTTAATAATGACCCAATTTATTTGATTGTTGTTATATTGATACTGATCATTTATCATGAAATCATCTTTGGGCTATTAAATATTTGTAAGACTGATTTGTCTAGAACTTGAAAGCAATATCTTGAAATGTTAACTGCATATACTCATTAAAATCTTGATATGTAAAATACAGATCAAGCTCTTATTTTCAAATAGTGTATGCTCTGAAGTATAGTTGGTGATAAAAATCCACATGCTATAAATTTGTATATCTACTAATATGCTTTATCTGTTCCTTCTAGGACTGATAAATATTAAGGTGGGATAAAAGGCATATGTTAGACTTATTCAAGGGGTGCTGTAGAAATATTCAAGAAGGTTTGATCAGGCATGGAAATCCAGAAGAGAAACTAAGGCATAAGCCAGGGTCAGAGAAGTAAGTCCTAGGGATTTAAAGATTTTCAGTATCTGCCATTAGAAAAGCAGAGGCACTTAAATGTTTAGTGCTTAAAAAAGAGTGTTTGGTAGAATTGTTAAGGTTTCAGTGATATGCATGGAAAGATTTCTCTCTCTGCCTCTGCACTGCTGGATTGATCATTCAGTTTCTCACATTCGATTAAACCTTGGCCTGGAGATACCATGTATTAGTTAAATGGGTATGTAAAGACAGGACTGTGAAGTCAGCACTGAATTTGAAAGTTACGGAGGATTGCCATGGCACTTCCATGGGGGTTTCAAGCAGTGCTGGAGGAATTTTAAGGAAGTTATTCCAAAAATTTTTACATGTTGTGGTTGCTTTAAAATATATTATATCCTATTGTAGCTAGTCACATCATTACTACAGTTCAGAGGTTCTCAGTTGGAAGGGCATTTGGGATTGTGTATAGGTATTTCCAGTTGTCAAAATGTTTGGAGGCACTGCCAGTGTTGATTGCTCACAGTGATGTTAAATGCCCGCAAGGAAAGGGACAGTCCTGCTCAAGGAGAAATTAGCCAGTCTAAAATGCAGTGGTCCTTTGTTGAGAGACTCTGCCCAGGTCTTACTTCTTTTCTTTTAACACCCCTTGTTTTTGGTATAGTTGGATAAAGAATCAAGTTTTTAAAATATCATTTGAGGATTCACTGTCAGATTTACAGTGTTTTTGATATTTTTGGTGTATAGCTTGACAATGTTGTGAGTCCAAGAGGGAGAGAAGAGAAAATGAGGGTCTGGTTAGCAACTAGGATTTGGAAGTAAGAGGGAGGAGGCTCTACCCACACAGATACATGGTGAACCTTTAAGGAGAAGATGTTAAGATCTTTCTTTTCTCTGGAAAGAAATAATAAGTGCATTCTCATTTGGACAGAGAGGAAAAAGATAGTGTAGAAAGTCACAGAAGATTATTAATTATGTAATAATCTGAATTATATTCTAACCTTGCTTGGGCAACAAGGTGAGACTCCATCTCTGCCCCCAACACAAAAAAATTAGCCGGGCATGGTGGTGAGAGCCTGTAGTCTTAGTTACTTAGGATGCTGAAGTGGGAGGATCACTTGAGCCCAGGAGTTCGAGGCCGCAGTGAGCTATGATTGTGCCACTGCATTCCAGCCCGGGTGACAGAGCACTACCCCATCTCCAGAAAAAAACAAAACAACAACAACAACAACAACAACAAAAAACACAAAACCCTTGAGATTCATTGAATTAAGAAATCAAAGAATACAATGTTTTAGGTACTACTTTAGTTATTCAATATCAGATGTTAGGATATATCTCAGTTGTCTGAATTGTGCCTATGAACTAGCAATGACAAGAGGTGAGGAAAAGAAAAGTGTTAAATAAAGAGGGAAAACATGAAAAGCAGATGGTAAGAAGAAGGCAGCATCTCAGAAAACAGCAGGTCCATCCTCCCATGCCCTCAGGACAAAAACCTCAGCGCCATCCCTGGCTTCTTTCTTTCATACCTAAGATGTAAACCTGCAGCACGTCTTGGGTGCTCTTTTTAAAAAATGTATCTGGGATCCACACATCCATTCTAGTGCCTGAGCTGCGCCCCCATTGTCTCGTGGTTAGACTGGACATCAGCCTCCAGCATCGCCTCTTCACTTGCCCCTCACGGACTGTGCACCAGCCACACTAGCCGCACCAGCCGCAGCTCCCTCTCCACTTTCCCAGGCTCACAGCTCTGTGAGGCTTCTCACTTTCGCTTCCACCTCCACCTCCATATAACGTTTCTCCCCATACTTTCCTGGCTCGAAGCTCTTCTCTTTCCTGGCTTTTGTGTAGACCCCTCCTCTGCGTCCTCTGACCACATTGTTGAATTTGCACACAGAGAGGTAGAGACAGAGACTGTAATTCCTATCTCCCTCTCCCTAACTCTTAATTTTTTCTAAAGCACTTTCATTTTCTGGCACGCCACATATTTTACTTATGTATTTGCTGTGGCTGTCCTCCCCAGAAGGGCAGGAATCTTCCTCCTTTCCACTGCTCAAGGGCAGTGCTTGACACACAATGGGTGCTCATGGGGAGCCAGGAGTAAAAAATTGGTGAGATGTAGTTACGATGCATTAGCAGAAACCAAAATTATGAGACCTTGACCGAATTATCTTAAGCTCTTGTTAATTGAGGATGCTGGTGCTGTGCTTATTTTGGCGAAGGTGACCTGAGCAAGTTCACCAAAGGCAGCGCAGTGCCCTCTGCTCCTCGGGAGAAGCTTCATAAATGGTAGTGATGATGATACTGACAATTCTTGTGAGAGGCAAAAGGCAAACGGAGGGAAATAGGAAAGTGTTACTGCTCTTTCCAAACATCTTTTATTAAAATGTTTGCATTTTACTGCAGATGTTTTTTCTTCTCTTCCTCAAAGAGAACTCCCCTGAGTCAGTGTTAATAAATCTACCCAAAAAAGTTTAGTAAGAGGACAAGTGAAACCCCTGACATTCACCTGGGGAATAAGGTGTCATGCAGGGCCACCACGTGGAACTGGATAGCAGTCAGATGTGCACATCAGCAGGACCGCTAACCTCATCACTGTTTAATACCAAAATAGACATTTTTAACTTGACAACAATCTTAAGTCTTACAGAAGAGACTTGATTGTGTTGAATATGCAATGTTTACTAAATATAGATGAGAAAGATGCTCAGTATTAAAATGTAAAGGAATGGACTTCATGGGTTAACTTTTAGTTCTCTGGCTTTTTATTTTGAGTACTTACTTACCAAGAGTTTATATTGATTTGGGTAGCAATGAGCTCTCTAACAAGATGCAATGTCATGGAATTCATTTCGACAATTATGAATAAAAGTAGTGCAGACAGCCAGCCGTAACTTAAATATGGTGCCTTTGGTGATTAAGGATGATCAGGTGAGTGGTTAAATAGATCAAGAAAAGGAAAGAAAAATCCAACGATCCTCATTAAAAAACAAGGGTAAAAATGTCAAAACAGTAGGCAGGCAATAGGAAGAATGTCACTAAATTATGTATTCCTTGGGTTATTAACAGACCATAAAGTTAACAGTGTAAGCAGAGGCTTGTGGGTCAGGGAAGGAAAGATGTTCTAAGCAAGTGCATAAAGAAATAGAATTGTGCTTAATGGTGTGTGTATGTAAACATACGGGAAATGTTTAGAACTGTACACTGGAATTTCTACATAAATTCTCATCGTTTAATATAATGTCTCTTAAGGCATATGTTGCAGAAAGGACCATTTTCAGAGATTATTATTTAGAAACAAGTATGTCATACGCATGTTCAAGAAATAATTTTGTCTTCTTATTTTGATATATTATGAATACATTGAACACAGGTTTTTTTTTTTTAAAGGGATGATGCAGCTGTTTCCAAACATATTTTATTAAAATACTTGTATTTTACTGCCCGTTTTTTGTTCTTTTCCTCAGAGAGAACTCCCGGTGGCCAATGTTAGTAAATTAACCTTTCTAATTCAGGAGCTTGAACAACAATAATCTAATGGGCTCTAATGGTGTTTACATTCAACACGGTATTGGTGAAAGTAAAAGAAGGACACTTATATTGCATAATAAGGTACTCAATAATGCTTTGCATTTCTATTAATAAAGCTAATATATTTCTTCTTAGGAATGATGCACTTCCAAAGCAAAGATTTGATGTCATCCTAATGAGTCTACTTTCGATTGTAGAGTACAGTGAAGCCCTAGTAAAGAGGAGTAAGAAATTTATTTTACTGGAGATAATAAATCTGACAAGGGAGCTCTCAGCATAGATTGAAGTTGATTCGGCATAGAGTTGCTTTACAAATAGCCCTTTGAGCAAACTCTACAGTTCTGTATGTGGTTTTAAATCCCTGTACATTTGTAGGCAGGTACATATTACAATTGTCTGTTTTTCTTTTTAGGGTTCATGTAATCAAAGAAGTTTCTTTGTTGTGTGTATCTTTACAGAACACAACAGGAATTGAAAATGAATCAGGTGAGTTTAAAAATCAGAATTTATACAAATACGTGACCTAGATGTTAGACCAGCTCTTGATTTTTACCAGATAGTAGCACACACATTCTCCTGGATTCTCATTTTTATTTCTTAAAACCATTAATTAGCTCATTGCATTCATACTGTGCATTTGTTCGTGCAGTGAAATGTGCATTGTTTGGGCGTGGGTTGGCATTTCCGTGGTTCTCTGACTAGAGCACTCATTCTTAAGGATTTTCGTTAAGACTTCCTTTTTGACCTCTCTCTTGCCACACTCTAGTGTGTGAGTTTTTTTGTGTGTGTTTGTTTTGAAGTTTATTAAGGTTTCGTTTTTAGCATTTTTTTAAATTTTGTGCTTATCTGCTGGTTGAAAAGAGAGGATTAAAAGTTATTTATAGAGACTGCAAATGATCAAAGAAGAACCTTTAAGCATTTTGTCCTTGAAAAACCTGTTCTCAGAATAAAAACAAGAGGGCAGATATTGAAATGTAAGATGTGTTTTTCTTTACAGGAGATGTGGGATTACCTGATGATTAAATTACTCTGCTATGGATATTTCCATAGCCTCAAGGGTGTTCTGATAAGTAGAACCAGTTATGTGAATCTAATAATATATTCTAGAGTAGAATTCTTATGTTCTGGTTTCAATATCATCTCACTTGTAGTTATAGAAATTCGTGGGTGTCAGAAATGTTCTTTTTAAAATCTTCATAAGCACTTATTTTTAAAATATGAAGGACAAAACCAAAAATATGAAGTATGTAAATTTTTCTTTAGTCCTTAGCTTAAAATTCTTAGCTTAAAATTTCATTTCTTAAAATGAAAATTTTGTATCCATCATGAACTGAAACTGTGGACACCTTTTTATCATTTACAGGTGATTCTAAGTAGAGATCACAAGTCCAATTTAATTAGCGTGCCAAGTTTAATAAATTCAGTCCTGTGTTGCATTGAGAAATGTGAAATTTTTGGAATGGATTCTTTTGATTTCTTTTTCATTACTTTCTTTATCAGAAATCTTTATTTTAATGCAGAGGACATATAACATAAAAATTCGAATCTGGCGAACACATGGGACACATGCTTTCTATTTATTTTAAAACTTGCAGATTTATTGATATGCTTTTGAAGGCAAATTATTTTTGAAGTGGTGAGGTGGGGGAGGAAAAAGAATAGAGTGGATTTCCACAGTCATCATCCATCAGAGTTATATACATAAATATTTCATAGATTTTATTTACCTTCCTATTTTAAGATTGATTCTTAATACGAATGTGGTCACCCAAAGGAGCTTGCTTTTCTACTGTCTAGGAGCTGTTTTATCAGAGGAGTCTTGATTCTGTGTTAGAATGGTTGTGAGTTCTTCCAAAGTGGAATCTAAATGTTGATACTGTTTTTGTTACATCACTGTTCAGAAATCATTTATTTGATTTGCCTACACCTTTAACCTTAGGATTAATCGTGGCTTAATTCTTGTACAGTATTAGGCTTATAATATTTCTAGTGTGTTAGACTTGACACTTCAAACTTTTGCTGTATATTTCAATTATATCCAACAAATGTCTGTTTAAAAAAGCCTGCATGCCATTCAAAAAGTTGTAGCAATAACGACTTCTTTTTCTTGGCTCTTTTACAATTTCATTTTGCTTTCGACAAGTTTTAATATCAGACCTGCAGAAGACTTCCTTTGATGCCAGATGCCAAGTTATCAGTGGGAAAGTGTCCTCTTATGTTTCTAATGGTTAACACATTTCTGATTTGGGTGTAATTAAATGGTCTGGTAGTAATGAAACTTTTATTTGGATTATAAAAATAGTCCTCTTTTTATGAATAAAATTTTTAGCATCTTTTGTTATATTTTCATTATTAGTTATATGCTGTTTAGACCTGATTGTTAGGGCATAAAATCTATCAGTATTTTTCAATAATCACTCCCGTTATTTTTAAGGTTTATGACTTATTTCAGGATAATTTACGGTTTTCCCTTCTCGTATTTTTCCTCTCATTTTCATCCAGTAAATATGAGCAGTGAATGCTTGAAAAACTGAAAAATAACTACACAAAAAAATTCAGATATAAAAAAGTTTGAACTTGAAGAAGATTGGCTTATAAATAAAATCTTGGTGGTTATTTTAGGATTAGGTTGTTCTCTCTGGGGACGGATGAGCATTGCTTTGATGGATTTTAGTTGTCAGTTCTGTTTCTTCTGATGGGTGTGGTCTCTTAGACAATAGCTTAGAATAATTTGTTTATATATGCCTGGCAGTTGAGCTTCAGGGACTGCAGGATCCTAGGTATGGGCGTGGCATACGGTTTATCAATTCCTTTAGAAGAAGCAGTCAGGTCTACAGCCTGCCACTGTTTTAAGCGCTGACTATTGAGGCAGCATTCTGAACTGTTGCACTCAGTTATATCAGTGTGTTCCAAGTCGGTCCTAGTGTGATAGCTCCCTCTGAGCCCAGTCCTGGGGCTCCACAAATCTCCCCGACCCACATATTCTTTATCATTCTTTCTCTTCCCTTCTGTTCTTCACCTAAAATTTACCCCTTTCTTAGTATCTCTTATCCTCTCGATTAGAGCCAGCTTGCTTTGCATGTGAGTCTTGGATCCTTCACTTGCGCCCATGCCTGGGTGGCAGCGAGAGCGGTAGTCATTGTGCCTCCTCCCCTCGCTCTCCGTGCTCCCTTCTCTGTGTTCTCAGATCATAGGTTTCCTGCTTGCTTCATTTACATTCCACACCCATCCTGATACTTAACTTTTGAGATGTTCTGCTGGTTTCCTTATTTTCCTAGACTTACCTAGGAATGGCTTTATCTCAGGAATAGGTCCGTTATCTCAGTTGTCCCTAAGGTTCATTCATTCCTTCCCTCATTCATCGTGCACAGACGGTACCCCAGCATGGCATAGGTTCTGCAGTGAACTAGGTAGGCAAGGGCTCTGCCGGTAACATACTCCAAGAGGGAGACAGTTAAAAAGGAGGAAGACAAGCAAGGTAATTTCAGATAGTGAAAAGTGCCGTGAAGACAATTCAACAAGATTATCTTATAAAGGATGATGGGTGGAGGTGAAAGGAGGTCTTTGGATTACATGGTCAGAGAAGGCTACTCTGGAGGTGATTGCTAGTAGAACTGAGACTCAGGTAATAACCAGGAGCCAGACAGATACATGAAGATCTGGGGAAAGAAAATTCTAGGCCGAGTAAATACACAGTGATACAAAGGCCCTGACGTGGAAATGAGGTTGTTGGTTCAAGGAACAGAGAGCAAGCCAGGGTCTGGAGCTTGGCCCTGTCATGGACTCTGGGATAAGAGGACATTGATGTGAGAGGCAAGGTTTATAGGGCCTTTAGGGTTACTGGACAGTGACACAAGCTGATTGCCATTTTTAGGACATCCTCCCGACTGTGATATGGAGACTTGATCATAAGGGAGCAAGAGTGTGGTGCTACGTGTGTTCACTGTTGAGATTAACACCATGCTTTAGGACAGTTTCTTCAGTTGGACAGCTTAATAGACCTGACAGCTTTTTGAAAGAGGGTACTTTGTTAGATTTCAGAACTAATTTGACTGCTGTTCTTTTTCAGAAATGGTGTATAAGTGTTTCTTGTTTTGTGTTTTCATCTGTTTATTGTTATAGCAGTCCTATTTCTTAACCAAATATAATTTAATGGTATTTCAGTAAACTGAAGCTTGTTTGATTTTTTTTTTTCCATCGTTTGTTCCAGGATAGTAGCTTAGATTCTTGTTTGCATATCTATTACAAAGATGAGTTGTTCGTAGAATTTTAGAGATTTTAAGCTCTAAAATTAGAGATTAAACTGATGATTCTAAGCTGGTTTTTTTTTTTGCTTGTAGCAATTACTTTGGTGATTATTACTAGTCTGTTGTAGCAGTAATATATGTTTTAGTATGAATATACTATGAAGTGGTCTTAATATTAAGGAAAATTGACTCTAATCTATTCCGTCGCATATTACTGTCACTTTCCAGTTAGTTTTGATCAATCAATATTTAAGAAACTAGGTGCTTTAATTAAATAGATTAAACTGATATAATAATTTCTGATAATTCTCTGGGCAAAGCATATAAAAGGAGTTACTTATATACATTTAAATGAAACACCAATAACACTTGCTTATTCTTATATATTTTTAAACATAAAAACATTAGTATATGTTGACTATAGAAAATGGTGTATGCAGCTTTATGTAACAGCAGCCAGTGCCAATGTTATGCCCTAGAACAGAGTTACCTTGCTGATGGCAGTGACCATTTGTCTAAAGAGTGTGGAGAGAGGGGCTGGAGAGGGAGAGTGGAAGAGGTTGGTTCTGTGGTTCACGTGCCTGGAGCAGAGCTGAGGAGGGCAGAGTAAATGGTCAAAGAAGTGTGGGCTCAGCTCCGGGGTCGCTAGAATGACCGCAGTAGACTTTGCCAGTGAGGTGTACCTTTGTAGGGTTTTGAGTCGAGGACTGTTAGAATTGAGTTGAAGAATTCTTAATAAATACAAATAATTAAGGTATTCTATCGGGCAGAATCAGGACTTGGTTACTGGTTGAAAACAATAATAAATAATAACTTACCATGTCTCCTGTGTGTCAGACACTAGCCTAAGTGCTTTCTGTTCAGCCGGGCATTTACTGTTGACTGCAGCCACACTGGGCGCCATTACTATCCCTGTTCAACAGGTAAGAAAGTGAACACAGTCGAAAACATTGTTTTCTATTGCGTTGGTATGTTTGTCCTTTATTTTCTTGGTGCATTAAAGTTTCATTTTAACATGATTTAAAGATGAGAATTCAGATTTATTGACCTGTTTAGTTATTTGATTGTAAAGATCAGTTTTGAGGTGTAATCTGCATACAGTAAAAGGTAGCCGATTTAACCGAACAGTACGCGTTTCACAGCCGCGTCGCTCTTACCACTGTCGAGTCATAGGACACGCCCGTCACCCCAAGAAGTTATTTCCTGCTGCTCTGAAGTTAGTCTTTCCCTGCCCAAGGT